TTAAATATTTGGCCATTCTTTTAATTCTCCGTATATAGTATCACTCCTGTTTTTATTTTCGTTATTTTATTGTTGTTTTTGTATTTAATAGTGTTATTTGGCGTGAGTTTTTAAGCTTTAGTTTAAATGTTACTCCATGTAAATTTGGAACTAACAGAGCAGCTACATGCTAAGCTAACCTATCATCTGTTGGTTTAGCTCAGCTAACTGGTTGTTGCTGGCTGTCGGTGTTAGCCGAAGCTGGTAAGAGAGAAAGTAATATGAAGCTATGGAGGATCGGAAGCTAAAGCGCAAGAGTACCCGAAGCGCCATCAACCCCGGGGCTCAGACCGGAGGCTTATCCCGGAAGAACAGCTCCTCCTCCAGGGGAAGGAATGTCGGCTACAACCACAATACGGGGAGCATCTCCAGTCAAAGAAATAGGAACAGGAGGTCGTCTTCCATAGATTCATTCTCAGAAATAAGAAAAAAAAAATCAATATTAACGTCGATGTACGTTTTATTATTATCAATGTAATGTTTTGCAGGGGAGCGAGAGATAGTAAGGCAAGATATCCACAGGCTGTGGGAGGGAATAAGAACCAGGGCCAGGCAGCACCCGTCATCCAGCACTCTTTTCTGACTGATGTCTCAGATGTTCAGGAGATGGAGAAAGGTCTGCTCGGTCTGCTCAACGACTTCCACTCAGGAAAACTACAGGCCTTTGGTAAGCTCACAGTGGAAGCACTTTGCAGGATTTGATACAAATATAATATTATGCTATGATCCAATCATGTCTCAGGCAATGAGTGCTCCATTGATCAGATGGAACACGTCAGAGAGATGCAGGAGAAGCTGGCACGGTTGCACTTTGACCTTTATGCTGAGGTAGAGGAAATGCCTGAGGATCAGCGGAAAACGGCCTCTGACACCAACATGGACAAGCTACTTTTTAATGTAAGACTGCTTACTTTTTAATAAAGCACCTAATTATTTGAAGTTCATTTCAGTTTGCATATTAAACAGCTCAAATTCAATGCATCTAATTTTAGTCTTCTAAATATCTCTAAAGAGCTACTGCTTAAAAGTTTGGGATCACTGTGGTGTACCAAAGAAACTGCAGAGTTTCAGAGGAAGGCATACATTCAATTCAAATTCAGATATAATTTATTAATCCCAAAGAGAAATTAAATGTTGTAATTCACTTAATTAATTATTGCAGATAACAGAAATCTTTCCTGTGTGAGTAGGAAAAATTTCCTGTAGCATCTGTGTTGCAGCGAATTTGAAGAAGCCTCTGACTGAAGACACCCATTTTTTCATGGTGGTTAGAGTTGATCAGCTGCTCCCTGTTATAAACCACCCTGTTGCTATGGTTATGCATCCAGGGTTTTCCATGGTGTATTATAAGCCTGGTGGGCCACCAGACTTGTGCCCCCCACATATTTTCTCCTAAATTATTGCTTTTTTTCAGTGTAAAATAATGATAATTCAACTTGATCCCAAGCAGTGGTGCACAGAGGTGTTCAGCTCCTGAATTATTACTGATGAAGCTCTCAAATTATTCTGCCTGGTAATGGATAGCTATGCCCTTCAAATTTAGTTACTTATTCATCAGCAAGTGCAAATATTTTTGTTTCACAATATCCATTATGTAAAATCAATAATATTCTTTGTCTCCACAGCTCGAGGAGCTCAGTTCTTCCATGTATCCTTTTGACATGAAAAACTCTCGGATAAGTTGTTTTTATTCTTGACTTTTAAAAGATTTTAATTTGACAGGGCTCGTTACGACCAAAACTTAACATCCATTTTGTAGACACAGAAAGTCAATTCTTGAATGAATTTGCAATGGTTAGAAACAGTTTGCTGGTCCTTCTTCCTTTTGTTGAAATAAAAATATTTATTTCAACAAAACGGAACTTGAAATTTTACCACCTCAAAATAAAGAGACAGTTAAACATTAATCTTAATCTTAGCAAAAGGCATTAAGTTATCTCAATATATCAAAACAATTGTCTCCACAACAAAAGGTACTTGAATACTCATCATGAGGGCATAATGAAACTGATATGGCAAAGAAAGCTTAGTTTTTGTAAACTCAAGATAGCAATAAGGACCTCCAGCCATTTTTGAATAACTAAAATGCAAGAATAATTCAGAAGCCCTGTAAAAATGCTTATAGCTGCCTAGTTTAATAGGTCAGACACCAAATATACCTTAATATGTGTTAATATGAAACCGTTTTAGCGCTACCATACAAACTAGCATCCTTTATTTTCCTTCTCTTCCTGTTTTGAGGTTCAGCCAATCAGTGTAAAGGGAAATATATGGCACTCCTGGATTGGGTGCTTTACAAATTTCACCCAATAGCTTGTCTAGTGTCTAGTTATTATGGCTTACCCTGATGAATTTTCTTTCAGATATTTTAGGTATGTTCTACGAATAACAAATTTACCACAAATAATTTGTAGCCATGTTCCACAGAATAATCAACGAATCAGTAACCATGTTTCTATCAATGTTTTTTTGTATGCATATTTTTGAAGTATTGCATTAGAAAAGGTTGATGGAAATGGCAAAATTCAAAATAACTTCCTAGATTTTGCAAAAATGTTTTTTTTATTTACGCTGTCTTGAAATTATTTTTGGCTTTCCCGAAAAAACATTAATGCACTAAAGCAGATCTGGAAACAGATTTTCCAAATAAGTGGTAACGTAGCAAACACTTACCTCACATGACTGATCAGCTGTTTCTTCCTGTCCTTTCTCTACGTCTCCAAGCAGCATGTGACATCACCAACACTAGTTGACAATTGTGGAGGTCCACTGCATAGGCAAATCCTATCTAAATATTCTACTTACCATATTTCTAGTGGGTACTTGTGGCTTAAGTGCTAACAGTATTTATACTAACTCTAGTTTCGTCTGAATCCATTATCTTGCGTTAATGTCTGGTCTAGAGTAGAGTGAAAGGAAGACAGGAAGTTTTTGAGAACCTGTTCCTTTACTTGATCCCGCCCCTCCAGCCAGAAGCTGAATCTAGCGGACACTCAAGAAATCCCAAGGATGGCCACCGTGTGATGTTCGTTCTTCATCCTCCTTCCACATTACCTCTCCTGAAACCACGTGTAGGCAATCTAACAAGGCGGAGTTGGAGGAACTTTACCTGAGGTTGAATGTATTTTCAGATTGGCTTCACTGCAGCCACAGAGTTAATCAAAGATGGGTTTAACAGTACTATGTCTCTTATATTAAAGATAAGGTACTTATCTTTTCTGTTATTGTATAATACTTGTAAGAAAGTTGCATGGAGGCTTAGGTCAAGATCTCCAGGTTCATTATATTTTACATATATTTGGTGCATCCTGTCATTTGTGAAGGCAGCATAGGTTTATAACCCACCAGATTCTTATTTTTCTTTGAAAAATACAGAAAATTGTTGTCATTTCATCTTCAGATTTAACAACAAAGATAATATATAAAAATAGCTCAACTAAAATTCAGTGAGCAGCCCTTCAGAGTTTGAATGAAACATGCAAAGTGCACACCACATTGTTTCTGATGGGTCGGTTTGATGCTGGAAGAAATCCAAATGCTAACATCACAGCCATGCCTTATTTTTTTCTTTTTGATTTAATCATACTTGCCTTATTGGTTAGCAATGTTTAAATGACTCTATCTGATTTATTATGTCTAATTTTAGCCGCTAGAGGGGGGTGTTTTCACACTTAGCCTTTTGCTTGATTTTACTTTTGTTGATTTAATAAATGTCGTGTATTTGACTTTTTTGGGTGTTTTTCTCTCATTTACAGTAAGAAAGTATTTTTTTTCCTCAAAGTCAGTTGCAATAAAGATATTTTAAAAATAATGGGTAATTTTTTGTGTGTGTGTATTTCATGCCCTGTATAGTGCTGGACAGAAAGTAACATACATTATAATGTTGATTGTCATAATAATTTGGTGCTTTTGATTAAATACTTTTTGTTTGTACCATTACAGTGATTTTTAAGGACAAGAATTATGTGCACAAGTTTGTATTTACTGACAGTAAAATTCACCAGCATCTGTAAAATGCAGATGTAAGCATTTCAATGTCTCAGTACTTCTTACTTCTTACAGTAATAAATTAACCTCATTAATCACAAGTCCAACTAATTTTGTTTGTAAATAGTAATTGAAGTGTGAAAGTGAATTATATAACAAATTAACAAGTAAAGTTTATTTATGTACATCTTTGAGTGTGACAACGGATCATAACATTTAGTTGGAAACTACTTGGCCTACAATCAAAATGACTTGATTGAAATGTTTTTCAACTCGTGAGTCACTAATCAGTATGGAACCCTTTAAGAAGAATAGATTATTATACCTCAGCAGTCGGCATATAAACTTTTAAAATGTCCTTTATCAGATCTCAGACAAACTGCACCAGCAAGATTTTTTCATAATTCTTCTTTTAGAATGGGTAAAGTTAATCAAGAACATATATCATTCCAAAATACTCTTGGTGTGTGTTTGGGATTGCTCACCTGGTGGAACCCTCAATGGTGTTTAAAACCTTTAATTGTATTACTGAAGAAAATGTTTTCTGTTTCAGTTACCATAATCTGGGAATATTTGAGACCCCCGGTTAAAACGCGTACAACCTTACAGCCTGTTTTAATAGTTCAAACACAATGAAATTTGGTTGGAATTTACAGTCGTGTAAATCATCCTAAACATCAAAACTAGTCTGAATGAGTTAATGAGACTGCAGAAAGGACTCGACCTCAGTCTTTTTAAAACATTGTGAAATAATATACTGAAAATTGTGCAGGAAACCAACTACTTGAAATAAACTTGACTCTTTTTAGTAAGTTTAAGTTCCATTTAAAGTTTTAATGTTTGCTGCTTTAGCTTCCGAGCCAGTTTTACAAGAGATACTGTTGGTTATTAAGACTCAGGATGGGATGGGCTGTGTGAATGCCCTCATCCTTTGTTGACACGTCTCCATGGTTACTCCCTGCACACCGGTCCATCTGAAACAGATCTACTCGGCTTCAGTAGGCCTGTAGGAAACAGCATAGCGGTGATGGACCTCAGAGGCACTCATCACTCAGTGAAGCTCTGGCAGCTCAGTGGGCCGGACTATGAGTCGCAGCCGGGCCCCAAACTGGCAAGAGAGACCCGCTTCAGCAGCTGGACCCCACTGGGCAACAAGCAGAGCAACCTGCAGGTAGTTCTTTCATTTCCTCTCATTGTTTCAAAGGAATGACTACAATATACAGAAGCAAGAAACTAGTTTCATAAAACCTGTTTCTGAACCGCAAAATTAATTTGTTCAATGAAAACCAACTACTTTCTAAAAACCATTGCTGAATTGGATATTGCTGTAATGACTTAATGAAATCAACTTGGTTTCCTTACTGAAGTTTAGCATTTTAAACTAAGCTGGATGTATGTATCAAACTGGAAGGGATCCATTTGAATTTGAATCTGACTAAATGATTATATTGACTTATATTATTTTGCGTAGAAATTGAAACAGTGTGATTATGTAAAAAATGGAATTGAGTAAAATTTTGGATTCTTGCCTGGAGTAAAAATGAAAAATATGATCCACCGTCTAACTCCATTTATGCTGGATATGAAGATGTAATAATAACTGGGTGATAATTAATGTGTCGCAGGACACACAACAAACAAAAAACACACAAAAAAAATCAGAAGTACATTTTTTACATTTTGTGAAAACAAGAATTTTTCTCAGCCTTAGATCTTTTGTCCATGATGTTTATTTCAGTAAAGCATAAATTGTTCTATGTTATGTTTTTTCTTAGCAATATACATGAGATTACATTAAAGTGTAATTTAAAACTCTTGCTTAAAATAGCCGGTTCTATAAACATTATTATGGGATTAAAACGTCTCACATTTCACCTCAAACCATGGATGAGTCTCATTCCTCCAAATAATGCAACAAACGGTGCAAAGTACAGATTCCCCTCGTTAGAGTACTTGGCAGTGATTAGATGTCCTCATTTTCCATCTGCTTCCTGTTTGATCTGAGCTGTTTGAGGAGCGTGTGAAGGTGCTGTTGCACTGGTTTGATCTGTGGATGGACTCCCAGAGGAAGCGCCTCCTGCAGGCTCTGCTGGGTCGCTTGCACCAAGGCACAGCTTAAGTAACGTTCTTTCCAACACTTCATTCAAGTTATTCTAAAGTCCTACCCTGAGCCTGCAGTCTGATCCTGTTGTTGCGCGTTGCTGAACCCAGACACTGCAGAAACCTGCTCAATGACATGGTTCCTGTAACCCGGCTGGATTTCACGGCTGTGCTGCCTCGGTGTCTATCTCTCTACATCATGTCCCAAGGAGTTTGGAGCCTGGAGGCACCACTACGTCTCGTGCGTCTCCACCTTGGACCGGCTATCTCTTCAGCAAGCAGCTGAGATATATGGGACCCTCTACCAGCCATGCCTGGGGGTGAAGGAGGAGGAAGGGGAGAGGAGCAGGGAGAGGAGGATTAAGCAGAAACTCAAACAGGCCCTTAAGGAGGAAAAGAGTGAGTCAAGGTTCTGGGTGACTGAAGGAAGTGGGTGTAATGTGAACACAGGTGCACAGGTGGCAGGATGAGACAAATTTAGTACATAGAGTAGATCGCAACAACTTTATTAAATGAATCATTTTGTTTTTCGGTCCTGTCAAACATAAAATTACTTGTCAAACTGAGCTTTGTCTTGCCATGTAAACATCTCACCTCTCATCAGCTGTTCTAACGGCTTAGGTCTGTGATATCTAACAGGACTGGCCTTGATTAGCAGGAGTCCATGGGGTTCTAACCCAAAGTCTGACAAATCCACAGGTGAAAGGTCACCGACCGTCCTGTCCAGCTCAGAGTTGATGGTTAGGTCTTGGTCTTCTCTCTCC